AAGGTACTATGGTAAACAGATTCATTTGCTTTCCCAGAAAGCAAATAAATAACAACATACATGTCAACTTGTACGGATTGTCCGTAAGTTATAAGGATTTTACGATCTTTTTGCACGTATACGGACGTATAGAGCAATGTCAGAGATTTTTCAAGTCTTATGGATTTTTTCAAAACCTCATTTTCAATATGTTTTATGGGTAGAGTAGTTTATTTTTCCTGTAATACTTCATTATAATTTTGTAAGGCAATGCTAACTTAAAGGGGCGCTGAGCAGAGTTACAACCAGGGATTACAAATAATTACTTTTTTTCTTCTGCAGTTCGGCGCCCCCTCCAGCAGATGGTGGTCTAGGCAACCACCTATTTCGCCTATGCCAAGAGCCGGCTCTSCGTACCCCTGGCTGGGAATCACTGTTTTAAGAGACATAAGGCCCTAAATTGGGAGATTATTTTAAATTAAAAATGGCATAATTGATTATCGGCTATAATCAGCAAAATGTGATGTGAACCTGTGTTTAAGCTTCCAGTCCTAGAGCTGGTGAACCAGCCTTGAACTGACTGAGAGTAGTAGATGCTGCTACTGGTATAATGATAAKCAATCCACTCCAGTCCTTTTCCAGGAGCCTGTCTGACCCAAACCATCTCATAGCTACTGAGTGTGAATCCAGAAGCTGTACAGGTCAGTGTGTGGGGTTCTCCTGGTCTTTTAACCACAGATTCAGACTGTGTCAGAGTCTGACCAGAGACACCAGTAATGAAAAAATGAAATGGAGCTCATGTTGGCATGTTGAAATTTTTTTCTCCCCTGATCAAAATAAGTGAAAATAATCACCTTTCCAGCAGAGAGTTAAAAGCAGCAGCCCTGTTCTATAACCCATCATGTTAACCTGAGTGTTCAATGTTCTCTATCATCATCTGTTGTCAGATTAATACAGAGGAAGGTGTTGAAGTTTTGCATTGACTCCTCCTGGCAGGAGGGACTAAACTCTGGTAGTCATGGTACAGTTAATATGCTGTACAGTTATATAGAATCAATAAAAATATTTTAGGTCAAATAAACATACAGAGAAAATTTTGTCTGAGGATCAGTTTATACCTGATAAAAAACAGAACTTCAGGCCAAAGTTTGATGTGTTGATCGATTCAAGATCATCCAACAATTTTCATTGTTCATGATTTTGTATTATCAATAGTTGTTTTTTTTTATTATTATTTTTCAGTTATAAAAGACATGTTAGGAGGAAGGATATTTTCTATGAAAGATTATTTTTGAACCAATGTATTATTTATGTTATGACATGTTTTGAACTGTTTCTATTTGTGCTGCTTCATGTAATGATTATGTGTGTAAGTTGCATTGTTCTGTGAACTGCTCTGAAATCATTAGTGATCTAAGAATTCCTCCTCTGGCTGATAAGTGATATTACCAGTGTTCAGTCTCTGAGGGTTTTTAGTTCAGCTCTGCTGTTTGTTTGGATTACTGTGTTTCTGACAGGTTAGAAAGGTTGGACTCTCCTTTAAGAGACGTTAGGACCTAATTTGGGAGATTCTTTTAAATTAAAAATGACATAATTGATTATCAGCTATTTTACCATAGTCAGCAAAATGTGAACCAGTGTTTAAGCTTCCAGTTCTCTACAGAGAGCTCCTTGTTGTTTGTTATATCTCATTTTAAAACAAGGTGAGACACACAACATCTTCACTGAATTTCTTCTTTCATCAGCTGATGACTCATCAATGTCTTYAGAGAATGAATGAATGTTGTGTTCTGTCTTAAAGTCTATAAGAGTGATATTGTGTTTATAAGGAAAGGATTTACCATGTGWAACAAAACACTGCAAAGATCTGTAGTCATCAATTATTTTTTTTGACAATTTGCCTCCAAGTAGCCACACTTTTTACAACATTCATCTTCAGTTTTTAATATTGATGTTTTTAAGCTGTCCTTTAAACAATACTTCATTATTTTGTCATGTTTGGTCCAGTTGTTCTTTGTTGCGGTTTTTAGAAGTATGACATAAAAAGTATTTAAACATTGTTCCAAACTTCATTAATATTTATAAAACAGTTCTGATTCTTTGGAGAAAATATAATTTGTTTGCTGGATTGTTGTATATGCAAATAATTAGATTAAATACATTAAACTACAGTATATACTTATTGATGACAAAATATGTTTAGAACTTAATTTTTTGTAATGAAATGAGTTTAAATTGAATATTTCAGTGAGCTCTTACAGAAAAGCAAGATGTCAAATATTTTTCACAATTTTAGTTGACTTAATTTAATATTTTCATGCCAAAACATTTAGCCTTTTTGTATTCTTTTTACTGTCTGAAGAAAAAACTTCAACACTGGAGGTACTTTAGCATTGTGTGAGTATAATTTGTCCATACGTAAAAATAAAAAAATCTTGTATTATTATTAATGTCAATTACATATTGGTTAACATCACAAAGGTTGTTAGGATTTACAGAGAGAAACGTAATRTTCGATAACGTTGATGAGCTTTCGTTCACAACAAAGAGGTTTAGTATTTAAAAAATGTTTTAACAGTAGAAGGCATCAGCAAAATAAAAGTCAAATGCGAGGAAATGGCCTATATGACACAGATTTCCATTCTAGCACTTCTGCATTCTTTGGCCGCAGACAGCACTTCCGGTTCGCGGGCAACATTGTGTTAGCGTATAGGCTTTTTTCACTCTGTGGCTGCTGTYCACACTACAGGATTTGCATGTACCAACATTAACACAGGAGACATTCAAGTTGACAAAAGTCCATCCAAGTGGAAAAAAATATTTTATAGTGGATTAAACCCATAAAAAACAAAGGTAAGCCTTTTTCACTATTTCTTGGCTGCTTGTTCTGTGKRTTTTTTCATGTAGAGATGTGACACTTATATTGTTGGAAAGCCTGGGCCCCACAACTTCGGAGGCTGGTTTTGGGTGTGAGGGTTGGCTTTAGAACCAAGGTGTGAATTGAGTTTAGGTTAGTTTTAGGGTCAGGTAGGTAGGTACCTGTGAGGTTAGGGTTAGGATATAAAATTACCAAAACATGAATGGAAGTCAATGGACGGGCCCCACAATGATGTAAAAACAAGTTTGTGTATGTGT